AATTACACATAACTTGAAGGAGTGGAAAGTTGTGTCATCTAGTTTTTTATGTAAAAGGAAAGGAAAAAGGAAAGCAATTCCACTTTTCTCTGTTATAATTTCTGCTGTTTAATCAGACTTGGCAGCTTGCTGAAATGTTCAGAAGAGCAGAGTAAAACTGTGTTGATGCAATGACTCTCACTCGTTGGTGCAGTTTAGCTTTCTTTACTCCTTTCCAAACCCTGATGTTCCCATCAAAGAGGTTGATTGATCCAGTAATCTACAGGTTATGAAAACAATTGGGGAAAAAAACCCCACAGAAATAAAAACAAAACAAACAAACAAAAACCAACAAAACAAACAAACAAACCAAAGAAAAACCCAAACAAAACAAAAAAACACACACACAAAAAAAACCACAAACTAAAAAAAAAATAAAACCAAATAAAACTCCTCAAGTGCATACACTGGGAATACAAGTTTATTTTCAAATTTCTGAATGCTTTACAACACCGGAGACCAAAAGCACTCACACCTAAGAAAATAGAAGTCTCCTTGTCCATCCCTTGAGGGTCTCATTCTCTTTCTGTGCAAAAGTTGGCTTTTCTTTTTAACTGCAATAACTGCAAAGAGCAGTTATTCCTTAATGATTATTATGTGGAGCCTTGGCCTTCCCAACGCCTCCACTTTGCCTTCTCGGTTATCAGAAATATTCTAAACTGTAGATACTGAAATAACATCAGAACATGAGAGTGGTTTGGGGTTTCTTTTGTGAACTTTTAATCTTTTTTGCTACTAAAGAGACAGTATAAAAAGACAACGTAAGAGGGCGTTTTTAATCTTTGTGTTGCAGTTCAATAAGACTTTTGGCTTCTTATTTTCATTTTTACTGAATCAAAACAAGGATCAAAGCTTGAACAAGCTGAATAGACTCCAGCTCCCATTGCATGAGGATTGAATTCCAGTTCTCAGAGCTGAAGGGTACTACTGATATCCATTCCCTGGGCACTTAATTCCATATATTTATCAGTAAAAGCATAGAAGTGAACCAGAATAGCTGGTATTTGTGTTTGCTGTGATGCAGAGTGTATTGATGAGAGGGTTATTTCGTGTTTAGAAGGCCAGGCAGTGTTTAATCTGTCACTGCAATGCTTGTCCTGCAAAAAGTGCCCCATGAACAGAACTGTAGAAGTGGAACCTCCTCCTATTTACTCAGCATAAACTGCAACCAGTATGTTTTTTTTGGGGTTTTTGGTTTATTTGTTGTTTGGGGGGGGGCAGTTTCCCTAATCAGGTTTTTATGTGTGATTACTCCAGATCCTGGGGCATCTTCAGCACACAGATGTGGTCATTTTTACTCCAGAACTGGATGGCACAGTCCATCTCGTCCTCCTCCACACCGGCACAAGCCCGCACCTCTTACCGTGCCACCTCCGGCCAATTTCTGTCTGCACCTCAAAACCAAAGGAGAAAGCTATTTTGTGGTTAAATGCTGCTTGGGAGCAGACCAGTGGGAAAGAATCAACACAGAAACAGTGGCTAGAGAAGAAGAGAGAAGTTTTTAGACGTCTCAGTTCAAGTTTGTTCCCTTTCTAGCTGAGAAAGTAGGATCTTCCAGTTTATCCTGCCTGTCCCACCATGTCCATCTTCCTGCACTGATGAAAACTTCCAGTGTGGCTGGCTCAGAGTTTGCCTCCCGTGCTGACATGGGTAAATGAACTCTACTCTTCCTTTCAAGAATTAAGGACATATTGTATGTAGCGATAGGACAAGGGAAAATGGCTTTAAACCAAAAGAGAGTAGATTTTGCATGTTCTGAAGAAATTATTTGCTCAGAGGGTGGTGAGGCACTGAGGCAGGTTGCCAGAGAAACTGTGGATGCCCTATCCCTGGAAGTGTTCAATGGCAGGTTGGACAGGGTTTGGAGCAACCTGGGCTAGTGGAAGGTAATTCTACCCCCCATGGCAGGGGGTAGAACAAGATGAACTTTTAAGGTCCCTTCCAACCCAAACCATTCCATGATTTTGTGTGAGCTGATCCAGTTCTGTGCTCCTACTTAATGACCATGGGCACAATATCCAAAGCTTGTTATTCCAGCTGTCACACAATTAAATAAATGGAAAAAAAAAAGGTCCCACTTCCATTTTTAACTTACCTGGTTTCCATTTCAAGCCTGTGGCCTCAGTCCACTTTCCCCCTCTGAACTCAAAGGTCTATCAGCACTAAGCCTGAGGTCTCTAACTCCAGCACTCTAAATCAGGTTCTCCATCACTAGAATATTTTCTCAGCAATTTTTTTTTAATCTTCTCCTTTTTTTTTTAAGTATTCCTTTGAAATTTTTTTCTACTAATGGTCTCACCAACATTGCCTACACAATTAAACATGTTTGCTCCACATTGCCTGCTCTTCCTCAGTTGCTAAGGGGTGTTGTCTTGTTTCCATCTGCTTCTAGAAAAGTATGATCTGCAGCAAGTTTGTTAACCAACATTCCCCAATTTGTGGCTGAGAAATAATTCTGCTTTGCTTTTTAAGATGATGAGGGGAAAGCCAGCAGCAAGCAGGAGAGACTTTAGCTTTCTGTTGTTGACAGCTCTGTATATCATGAACTGGCATGTTCACAGAAACATAGAGTGGGTCCAGACCACCCACTAAAGCCTCCTGTCACATCTGATTCTTGTAAAAATGTGCCTTTCCAGATGTTTAATGGGTAGGAAATTTCTAAATTGAAGAGTTGTGCATCTGGAATGTCAGGCTGTGTCTATAGTTAGAAGGGATTAGGATTGTTAGTCAGTATAGTCAATAATCCATAGATATATAGACAGCATAGACAATAATTCACAGCCATAAACTCAAACAGAAGGCCAAGAGGTGTTAATGTATTTGAAAAGATTCAATTTAATATTTCAGAAATTTCTGATAAAATTCAGGAAATCTGGACTGTGGCACATGTAAATAATTAAATACTGTTTGAAAGCCTGATCAGCCCTAGACTTTAAACTTGGAAGATGAAGATTTGGTCAATACAGCCCAGGGAGTCTGGAGTGATTAGGGACAGGATTCACCTCCTAAACACACCTTTGACACTCCAGTGGAAGTCCTTTATGAGGAGGGAGGGTGGGAATGTATGAAACAGGACTGTCTCTTTTTAGGAGCTGCAGGCAGAGTCCAACAGAGTCTTAGTGCAGTTTGAAACTGAACCCCAGTCATACCCTAAAATAGCTACCTCAGCTACCCTGGAGTCAGAAAAGAAGGGGAAATTCCAGGGTTTCAACATATTCTAAAATATGGAGGTAAACTTTTTTGTCTCTTATATAATCCATTTAAGATTCATTCTCATCACAACATCTAGACTATAAAAATGGATCTGGATACTAAGATAAATGAAATTATTCCTGTCCCGTCTACAGTAAAGTTCTGAATTATATATTCTAAACAGAAAAACAGTTTTAGCAACATGAAAAATACTGAAAAGCTTCAGAAGCATAAGAAAAACACTGAAAAATAATATTTAATTATGGGGCAAACAACATCAATTTTCATTCCAATTTAATCATAGACCTTTGGTGGATAGAGATCTTTCTGCATCACTGCAGTAGTTTGTGCTTTTAGGGGATTTCCAAGCCCTGCTGTAGGGCAAAAATGTGAAGAAAGGATAAAAAATACTTGAGGGGTAGAAAAGTAGTAAAAGTTGATTTCTCCACTAGATGGCTTCATTCCCATGAAGATAATTGAGCTGAAATCCACGGACCTTGATTTCCATGTTAACAGACAATGCTGAGAAACTGCAAGATTTGATTATCTGCTTGTATGGAATTGATGTTTTTGTTGTGTATATTTGCCAGTGAAAGCAATATTGTAGAGGATATAATTCCCTTACCTCTTGGTTCAGGAAACAGTAGAGGACTGCTACAATAAAGCCCTGAGAAAGACCAGAAAAAAAAGTTTTGGGTGTTAGCAAAGTTTGAAAAAGCCACTGTCATTGCCTGACTTCATGATGTGAATTAACATGTATCACTAGAGGTGGGAGGATTGCTACAAATTGAAAGATATTTTCTGTATCTCCAGTAAAGCTGAATAGCCAGATAAACACCTGGTAAGTGGCATTTCATTAAAGTCAGTAAAACAATACGAATTTACAAGAATAGATGACGTGGCAATTGAAGTTCTCCCACGACAAACATGTCATCCATTCTCCAGCCAAAACCACTCTGAATTAATTCTTTACACATTATAAATCAGTAAGGAAAAATGGACTTCAGAAGGAGATCCACGGATGGAGCTCATCCAGCTTTCCAGTCAACTTCCGTGTCTTTGCAGTGTATCAGATGAGGTCTATTTTCTGCCTATTGAACCTGTTAAAATCTGAACTGATATAAACTCAGGACAAGCCCAGGAGGTCAAAGGACCTACATGAGCAGATACCAGCCCAAAGCCTCACCCTTTTATTCATTAACTTGTTCATTAAATTGTTCATTAACTCAGTGAAGGTCCTCTCCCTGTACAGAGGGTCAGGATTAAGATGGGCAGGGTCTGTTGGACAATGGATTCAATCCTCAAGAGGACCAAACCAACCCTGGATTTTTGGTGATTCTGACTGACAAATGATGCCATGCAACCATTCAGGGGGAGATATGTTCCCTTGTGAGGTTTGGTGGGATTCCCACAGTTGCTTCTTGGAGACTCTGAGGTGCAGCACAGGGAGAGGGAGGGAAGCAAAGGATAGTTGGGTGCTATTCTTTTTAGGAGCTGCAGGCAGAATCCAGCAGAGTCTTAGTGCAGTTTGAAACTGAACCCCAGTCACACCCTAAAATAGCTTCCTCAGCTACCCTGGAGTCAGAAAAGCAGGGGAAATTCCAGGGTTTCAACATATTTTAAAATATGGAGGAGAAACTTTGATGTTTCCTATATAATTCATTTAAGATTCATTCTTCTCACAACATCTAGACCATATAAATGGGTCTGAATATTAAAACAAATGGAGTTATTCCTTTCCCACCTAAGGAAAATTCTGAATTATATATTCTAAACAGAAAAACATGTTTATCAACATGAAGAAATACCGAAAAGCTCTTAACTCAGGTAGCCAAACCACCTGGGGGATATGTCAAAGCAGCCCCAGGAGCTGTTCTGGTTGGCACTGAACTCCTCGAGCTGTCCATGCCCTGTGTGCCAATTCAGAGCAGTTGGGGGCATCCACCAAATATTTTGCAGGAGGGAAAGTGATGTGGCATTGCTCAGGATGGAGCTCTGCATGGGCTGGGACATGCACCAGGCACTATTCCATGTTTATGTTTGCTTATCAAATTATCCTTGGCCAAAAAAATCACTGAGGGGGCTGGACCTACAGCTTCAGCTGCCTCTGGATAATTTAACATCAGCCCAAATCAGCTTGTTAGTGAAGTCAGGGAAGGTGTGTGGACTAGGACTCGTAGCAAAGATTTTCAATGCTTGACTTTGACCCAGCATCCAATTCATACACTTTTCTGAAAGTCTTGGCCTTGTATTTGCAAAGTCTGCAAATCTGCACTCAAGCCCAAAGCCAGGTGGGATGGAGGACATGTCTTCAGGGATTGTGACCCAGCAAAGAACCATCAACTTGGTGAGGAAACACCGGATTCAGGATCCACTGATTTTTTTGTGCAATCCTAGTTGTCATCTGGACACAAGATTAAATCAGAAAAACTGCTAAGAAGGAACTGAAGCCTCTGGGGTCGCTTTACCTGGAAAGATCCAATGCAGAGCTCCAAGTAAAGCCGGACCCCCAGGCTGGTGTATTCCGGGAGGAAGTTGAAGACAATATAATGGGTTCCAAATAATGGAATCAGGAGCAGAGTTGCCCTTGAGAGACGTCTGGCACAGCACATGAGAAGAAGAAAGGTAACATTATTTCCCTCAGTAAAGACTAATGCACAAAGTATGGCACAGTAATGAACAGAAGTGAAAAAACCCTTAATATATATACATATAAATATATGTAACAGAAATTAATATGCAGGCTCCCTTTACAGGTCTTATATAGGAAAAGGTAACTTAGAGGGTAATTTATCCTGCTCTAGATCAGACATATAATGCAGATTCAATTAATGGTTTTCTTGCCTCACAATTGATTTTAATTGGAAGGTAGACATCTGAACTCTTCAGAATATATTATGTTGGCCCATATTAGGTGAATTGAATCTTATCCTTTGGCAGGTTTCCTTAGGAATGGGACAAGGTTGGGAATTTCTAAAATTTAATGCCAGTTAAACAGAGCTTGTCTGTGGCACTGAACAAGTACTTCTCTATTTAGAAAATATTATATGAGTTTTTATTATTGAAATAATTGATTTTTTAAAAATTATACCATACATTACCTGTACTGAGAGGAGTTATTGAAGTTGATTTGCCTGGGGTCTAATTTTTTCAGCAAAATTCTGATGATGTTGACAAAGAGGACAAAATTGACCTGCTCACAATATTTGGGAGAGGGGGGAAGAAGAAGAAGAAGAAAAAGCAAAGCTTAATTTCTTATGTAAAACTTCTCAATGAAAATCTGGGGTGGTTTAAATTTTAATTATGATGTATTGTGTGCAGTTTCAATGGTGTCAGTGTAAGGTTATTAATGTTATTTCTATTGGCAGCATTCAGGTATGTAAATAAATTACATTCCTTCTTAAAGAAATGGCTGAAGATGAAAACTTGAGAATCTGACTTTGCTAAGCAAAATATTTTCATCAGTACCTTGTGTGACTCTTTTACTTTTCGTAGCTCATATCACTTGGAATATCTTTTGAGATCACTGTTGCATTAAGTTTTTGCTGATCTCTTTAGACATTGTTATTGGAACTTATCTGGCTAAATCTCTCTGCAGTGAGATACCTCCATCTGAGCTGATCACCCTGTTCTGCCTTTGCCAGCAGTGGAGAGCCAACAAAGCCTCAGGAGGTGTTGGGAACGACTCATCTCCTCCCAGAGAAGACATTTATTTTAAGTCAGAAGCCAAAAGCACAGATTTCTCTCTGTTGACTCTGAAGGAGTCTCCGAGGAGCATTAGCTCAGCTCCAAAGCTCGCTAGGGTCAAGCCTAACTTGCAAATCAAATTTTCTACGACTGCAATTTGGCACAGATTTACCCAAAGTCTGTGAGGCTGCTCGGTTTTCCACAATCAAAGAGATTCTCCCTTATGCATCTCTGTGTGTCCATAGACACCAGCTCTTCTTTAGGTGAGGCTGGATGCTCCATTTTGCCTAAGAACATCCTCCTTTTACCAGAAACTCCAATCTCATTTTATCCATCAGCGATGCCTCCTGTACATTCCAGCAGAAAAATCATCACTGCAGTCCCTTGGCTTCTGATGTGGATGTCAGAAGGGGGGAAAATAATGGAGGTAGGAGGAAATGCAATAATTTATTGAAATATGATGAAATATAACCAGAATTCGACTTGAGATTCTTTATTCACATTATTTATGCATATCTTTAAAGCCCTTTCCAAACCAAACCATTCCATGGGCCTCATTTGCATGCAGCTGTCCTCCAAATAAATTAAGCTTTTAATAGCTGGTCTTAAGCTCCAGTAGCTGCTTTCTCAAAAGCACTGCTTGGGTTTAATGACATGTGGGAGTAATTTTATATGATAATTCATTTAAAGCCCATCAGTTTATCCAATAAATGTCAGGCTCAAGAGTTATTATCACTGTTATCAGCTACGAGCAGAAACCTACTGACCTTGAAAGTTTGTGCTAAAATTTATGGCTGCTTCTGAGGTTTTATGCTGAAAAATTGTTTTGAAATATTATAAGGATGGTTCAGCTACTCACTCACGATTAATTTCAATTACGTGACAATTTTATGAAGGTTTTAATTTGTTTGAAGGACATTTGCTTTGTAAGGGTGTCAGTTCTCTGCCCCTTTATAGTTTGCATTGTATGTAGGCAAGTTTACAGTAGAAATTCTACCATTCCTCTTCTCAGCAAACAGTAACAAGATTTTAATTAAAAAGCCTTTTTTTCTCCTAATTAATGTTGGCAAACTCAGAGGCACCTACCCCCACAGAAATTATAATAGGTCCTTTGATTAGCCACCAGTAAGGAGAGCCTTCATTAATATCCCAGCATCTGCAAAAAACAACAATTTAGAAAAAGACAGGCATGTAATCACAGCAATAAATGAGGAATATAAATCAAGAACATAGAATAATGTAGGGAACAAGGACTTACGCAGTGTCTTCAAAGTAGAATTTTGCCAAAATCCATATAAGAGTGAAAAGTGTAGGAAAACCTGTCAGAAATTTAAACAAAAATTGGGGTTTTCTGGTTTCATCAAATAATCCAAACCTTGTCCACTGAAACTGCTGTGATGATACAGATAATTCATTTTCAGTGCTGGAATCACCCATTTTGGTCTCCTCATGTAAGAGGAATTGTTTTAAACTTGAACTATAAACCTAAAAGGAATTCTTCTAATTCCCAGGGTGGAATGAAGCAAGTTATGTCTCGTTTATCTCTTGAAGGTAGAAAGGGACACAGAAGCTACTTTGCACATGATATAGTTCTGTCCCAGAGGACTGAACTTGCAACCTCTTGCTCAGGTGAACCCAACTCACCTGTGTGCTCTCCCTGAAGGTGGCACTTGTTTGCTGAGAGCACATTAAACCCCAGGTTTAAGTGACAAGGGTGCTTTGTGCAGGACAAAATATTTAGGAATTGCATTTAGCAAATCTTAAAATAATAGCACTATTAGCACTTCACAAACACAGGTGATACTCTCTATCTCGAGCCTTCCTAAAAAGGCACTTGAAGTCTCCCTAAAACACCCAAAGTTATTCAGTTTGCCGAGTTGTCAGGCCTACATTAACCTTTGGTGGTAACATCCATGAATTGTCTTTCTCAACTGACCAAAAAATTCCTCTGGGCAAGTGCATTCACGTGCCATAAAGGAGTTCTCTGTTTTACACAGGAACTTGCTCTGGGCTGCCACTTAGTCTCTGATTTCTGGGTCTCCATTAGGTTCTGAACACTCAGATTTATTCCAGACTCCACCAGAAAGGGTGGGGGTGTTGCTGTTTCATGCTGTTATTTAGTGGATGGGGCTTTTTTTTTTATGCAATTGCCCAATGCATAAAATGGGCTGTAGCAATATTAGGACAACAAAAACTCCTGCTATGACTCCAGATGGACCCATTCTCAGGCTGTGTAACTATATTCTGCATGAACAGGAGCAAGTCACATCTAACTTTGGTGTCTGTGATAGTTCCTTAGAGGTGGCTGCGTTTTCAGTGAGGAGAAGAAGGTTGAGACTGAATCTCTCCCTGTGGGTTCCCAAATATACCTAATTTTCCACTTATTTCACTGGTACTTTAATGCTGTCCTTTAAAAAAAATGATTGTTCCTCACTCATATGCATGTGAAAACAAAATCAGAGCAATGCCTAAGTTAGGTAGTTAGGTAGATTAGATTCCACATCCAGTATTTTTAATGGGATGGATCACAGAATCAGAGAATCATGGAATGGCCTGGGTTGGAAGTGGCATTAAAGATCATCCAGTTTCAACCAGTAGGGACACCTTACACTAGATCAGGTTGCTCAGAGTCCCACAAACCTGGCCTTGAACACTTCCAGGGATGGGGAGTCCACAACCTCCCTGGGCAACCTGTGCCACCCTCACAAGGAAGAACATCTTCCTTGTCCCATCACTCCCTTCCCTTGTGTAAATTCCCCCACCAGCCTAATTTTAAGCCCCCAGTAGGTACTGAAAGCTACTGTAAGACCTCCCAAGCCTTCTCTTCTCCAGGCTGAACTTGTTTAGCATCTTGCCTTTCACTAATTTCCTGGGAAAGCCTTACTTACCCCAGCCAAAGAGGACAAGCCACCAAAAATATCTTCTTCCATGAGAAAGGGATGAGAGCAGCAGACAGTTTAGGTAAAGAGCCTCCACCAGCAGCCACATGAAGTTGGTCATCATGAAGTAATGACAGAAAACCACAGAGATCTTGCACTCAGTCTAAGGAACAGGACAGTCATAGTTTAAGGTGGATACAAGTGTTTGATTTGCAGACGTAGCAGACATCTGTAATTCTGGTTTTGAGTTCTACAAAGAACAAGATCTCACTATTGCATGATGTTTAAAATGAGATCTTCAAATGTAAGATGGCCTTTTGAATAATAAGACTTTAACCATCATAATACTTTGGAATCTCCACTGTATTTTGCTTTATATCTCTGTGTTAGAAATGCAGCTTGGGCTCCCAAGCAGGTGATTTTTTTCACAAATGCACTGCTTTCAGTGTATCTTCAGTGTCAAATGCTTCTTGGACAAAGGTTCAAGGACACATTTTCCTCCTTATGCTCAACTCTAAACCTCTGTGTGGCCATGAGCAATGCAGAGGAACCATCCCACAAACCTGTGTTTGAAAGCCATTGCCAGGTTGCCAAGATTTTTTGATTACTTAGTACCCGCAGTCTTTTCTAGTTTACAGGTCAGAGTTTCCAGTCAGAACATGAAATCCAAGATTTCCAGAAGAATCAGCTTTAAAAGTTGTTCTATGAGATACTCAGGAGTCTTCAGATTTAGGCTTCAGATTATAGAAAGGTAACAGTGAAATGATACTACTTTTTGCTATGTGAAAGTCTAAATTTGATTTAGAGTACTACAAGACCACAAGCTGATGCTTTCAGAACATAGAAGGGCCACATTTATGGAGGCAAAACATACTGAATAAAAGAATTATATAACTTTCATTATAGGTTAGAAGGAAAAAAACAAGCAGTAGTAAAAAAGAGCCCTGAAAATGAAACCATATATAAGTGGTGTGTAAAAATATCAAGTACCACAGTATCCTACTTTTCATGTGCTTACTGTAGAGAAGCTGCAGTGATCAATGCCTTCCTCTTGGAAAAGGACAGCATCCTTAATGAAAATAGCAATAGCTTTTAAGATAAATGTGAAAAAGAGCTGCACATGGATATAATTCCTGGGACAGCGAAGCCTCCTGGAAGAAAAGAAGAGAGGTCTTTCTCAGCACAACTGGCTTGTGCTGGGGGTAATTAAAATAAGCAATAAGCCCTTATTTCATCTCATTTTCACTTCCAGACATATATGGGAAGAACACTTGCATATGCTGAGGTCTTTCAGGCAGAGATAGAAACCTTCCTTGTGTGAAGCAATTCACCCACAGTCTACATCTCAATCTCTTTCCTTGTTAGATGGAGGCCTGGGGATGTTTCTGGCCTGCCAAATTTAAGGAACCTGGAATTCCTTAAATTTATGTTTGTGCTCAGTACACCCGAGCCAGGCTTCTGGTTGGCATTATTTTGGGGCCAATCCCGCATTTGAGGAATGATTCAGACAATGGCTAAACCACTCCCGAGACCAAGCAGGCAGGGATATCCTGGAATAAGCAGATACTTTTCCCAATGGACAGGATAAGAGTTGCTTAGAAATATTTTCTCTATCCTATGCATTAAGTTGCATTAAACTCCTGTGCAGACAACCTTATCCAAAAGTAAAGGCTTTTTCCTTACTTTACCAAAGTTACTTTTATGAATTGAGAGCAGAGAAGGGCTTTAAAACAATTCAGCACATCTACTTTAAATTCAATTTGACACATCCACCTTAAATTCTCACTTAATTAAGTTTAAATTTTGACTGTTATTAAATACAGATTTTTGTGGGAGTTATACAGCTTCAACTTTATGTTTTCACTTGGACATGAAGATTTTAAGTTAATAAGCAAAGAGTTCCATTAAAAGCTGAATTCCACCCAGCTCCAGTAACCTGGGGGTCACCTAATCTCAAAGTTCACCCAGAGTGGGCAGAATTTTATTGCTGACCTCAAATGTCAACCCCATTGTTAAATATAATTTTTTTTTCCTCCCTATTGCTGTGTCTCTTTATGTCCATTGTTTCTTCCTTTCCCCTCATTTGGGCTGCTTTGTTTTCCTGAGGTCAGAGTGGATGTCAATAAACATATCTGTTGGCTTCCAGACATGAACTGGGAACCAACAGAGGTCAAGAAACTTTCCCCAGAGAACCCTGATTCCCACACCAAAATAATAAAACTCCAGACTTTTTTGTCCTGCAGAAATACAAGAAATAAACAAAGATTAATAAAATGAATCCTATGTGGCAGCAAACATTAAATATACATTAAATGATAAAATAAACGAGCAGTTTTATTCCAAATACTATAAATTATACCTGAAAATACCTAATTGATGGATAATTCATTAAGAAAGAAATCTTACCAAACATAGGCAAATTTTGAGACTAATTTTAAAATACGTCTTTGTTTATAAATTTTCCAATAGTAATTTATACGATGCCATAGGAACATTGTTTCACAATCAAGTACCTTGTGCATGTTCTTCTTATTAATATAAAATTCCCTGAAGCCACACAAGGCAAGCACACATTGTTTATAAAGAAATATCCTTATTCCAGCAAAAGCAAGTAAATTTATCTCTTGGTTATTCAGGATCAAAGTGAGTTGCTGAGTTTTGCCAACATTCAGCCAGGGTTTATTTCCCAGCTCTGATTCTCTTTCTGCCTGGCTCTCTCTTATCACTTCTCATTTCAACTTTAATTTAACATTATTAAACCAATATGGCTGGAAATCTTTATTTTTGTTCATCAGGATTTCTATCTATGTTATTTTTAATGTCTAATGTTGTCTTCTACAGTGCAAGATAAAGAATTCTGCTAAAAGAATCAAGGTCAGAGGACACCTTTACCTGAATGCAATAAGAACTGTCACAGCAATGATGAGTGAGGTGATGGACACGCTGTATCCTACAGTGTAGATGATCCTTATAGTAGAAAAGTAGGATTGCTATAAAGGAATAGAATTATTTGTCACAGAACTTGCAGCTAAGTGACAGCTTTTTTACAGACTCTGGCAGTTTTGCTTTGTTTGGTGCTTCCAATCATTTCATACCCCTGACTGCCTTTTCTTCCCCCTTTTAATCCCACAGCAAAAATCAATTTAAATCCCTTGTTATGTTTCTTTTGTAAAGTCCCATTCCATAGTTACGTGGATACAGCTCAATCTGACACCAAAACATGTATTGATCAGGGGGGTTTGAAGCTCATTCATAAAACCATAAACACCAAAGACAATCTTTAATGAAAGCATTGTTAAAAACCAGATGCATTTTTACAAATACTGTATTTTATAGTATAGAATATTTTATATGCATTTTTTATAAATACTGTATTTTATATTTTTAATCCTGCTGACAGCTGGCTACATGATGAATGCAGAATTCCATCAGCCTTTCCCCGCGTTTCTCCACTTTCCTACTCTCTACTTCCTTATTTCCAGTTTTACCATCTATTCTTCCTCTCCCTTTCTATTGTGTTCTAGTTACTTGGTTTTTTCTGCTTTTTTTTTTCCTCCTCTGTTTTTCTTGCTGCCAAACTCAACTATCACTCAGCCAGGACATCGACCAAAACCCATTTCAATTCAAGTGGCACCTCTATCGGACACAATCTCTGAGTGAGGATAAGTTGACTTCCACAATCACACATGAAAGCAGAAAATAAAATTAATAAGCTCTAGGCTGCAAATCTTTCCCTTCAATCCAACATGAGCCATCTCTTGGGTGCCATTTCAAAGCTTTGATAACCTAAAATCTTCACAGCTGTGCAGGGCATTGCTACAGTTCACTGTGGGGAAGGGGATATACTTGTTTTGAGTCCTAAGTGTAACTTCAGGCATTATATATAAGGGTTCATTTAATTTATTTTAGGTGCTTAAAAATTAGCTGCCTAAGTATGAGCAGCTGAGTCTGGAGTAAAATGAGGAATGTGAGAGCCTGGCCACAGGACTGAGCTGTTTAAATGTTGACACAATCCTGTTTCTTCTCATTCTCTTTCTTTTCTAGTTAATGAAGGGAAAGAAACACCCTCAGAAGACAATTCAACTCATGGGAAGATGAGACCTTATTGGTTTCTGACAGCAAGAAAAAGGATCTGTCACCACTCCTGCCTTAGCAAGTACAGGTCATAGAATCCCTGACTGGTTTAGGCTGGAAATGACCTTAAATACCATGTAATTCCAATCCCTGGTTTAGTGGAGTGAAACATTTGGTGCTGAGGACTCTACATCCATGGGTGAATATTTTTCACCATCCATAGTCTAATCCCATGGGCTGAACATTTAATACCAGCCAGAACACACCAGGTGCACCTTGAATTTTTCTTCCAGTTTAGTTTTATCCATGAGGAGATGGGTTATCCTTTCCGAGAACAGTAAATGCAGTAAGTGGGGAGAGCCAAGACATATCCCTGAAAAGCTCCCGCCTGATCCTATCAAAGCACTAATATAGGTCCACCTTGTAGTGATTGGACTTGATTTGAACCATAAATTTTTGAGACTGATGAAGTTGTATGATATGGAAACCAGGCATAATGGCCTCTTTTTTTTGTCTAGTGGATGAACTGTGAATTGTATATGATTATCCAAGTTCCTGACTATGCACAATTCCTGCCAGAGCTCAGAGAAGTACCTCAGAGCTGGAAAGCTTGCCAGTGAGTCTGGATCCAGCACTCCATGAGAAACATCAAAGCTGTGCTAGGCTGACCTTAACTGGCAACAAATCAGATGTGTAAAGCACAGAAAATAATCAAATCCTAACATTGATAAACCTACAACTGAGGAGTTTGCCTTTAGGTAAAATAATAGAATAATCATAGAATGGGCTGGAAGGGACCTTAAAAATCATTTCAGTCCAACCCCCCTGTCACAGGGACACCTTCCACTATTCCAGGTTGCTCCAAGCCTCGTCCAGCCTGGCCTTGGACACTCCCAGGGATGGGGCAGCCAAAATTTCTCTGGGTAACCTGTGCCAGGACCTCCCCCACCCTCATAGGAAAGAATTTCTTACTGATATCTAACATAAATATACCTGCACTGGAGATTGCTTTTACCCCAGCAGTGTAAGGAAGCAATAAAAGAAGGGAAGAAAGAGAAGAGTTACACTTCTGTGTGTTTATTTATGCAGAGCAGCAGGTGCTGAGGCTTAGAGCCTGGAAAGGAAGTTTGAGTTAAGCAGTTATAGTAGTCAACACAAAAAGTAATGGGAAGACAAGTGAAATCTCCCCGTGATGATATAAACTATGTTTTTATCCACATTAATTAGGAATCAAGCACATAACCTCTAGATATCACCAACTGTCAAAACCTGGCTGAAGAATTATGTCAGATTCTGATCTGCATTACTTACATATAAAAAACTTTGAGACTTTTTTCCTTGATGAATTAGATATTTTATGCAGAATGAGAAACCCAAACCCCTCTTGTCCTTAGATATTACTGAATTTTGAACAGTGGTGTTATAGCAGCACATCACTGGTGCTGTGATATTACAAATCCATCTTGCTGACTGATATTACTGAAACGTCTCAATTCATATTTTATGAACATTTTATGATACATCTCTAGTTATATCTGTAGGCAAGTTCATGATTGTTTGGAATTTGCAGCTGGCTTTGTTTTTATTACACTCATACACATGAATAATAAAACATTCCTAGTTATTTTCCAAAATAAGTGGCTAGAGTCAAATCTGAATTACATTTCACACTTAGAAAGAAATTTCAGCTTCAGCTAAGCTTCCCTTTGCAGTGTTCTTCAGGAATAGAAAGGAATCCTATAACATCAGCACACCACTCACATATTTTTCTGTAATTAAACTTACTTCTTCAAGGGGAATCTCATCTTCTACTGGACAGGCGACATGGTAGGGAGGGAACGGGTCAGACCAGCCTTTCCTTGTGCAGTTCCTTTTCACTATCCCAGCTGAAACAGAAGCACCTAATTTTTTCCAGTGGAAAGCCACATAATACAGAAAATAAAACCCAAGAGAAGACCTCTGGCTGGTACAAAGGCTATACCAGGAGGAGAGGATCATGTGCATTGTCATCACGCAGAGCTGATAGGACACTTTGTGTGTGTACATTCAGGTCATCAGACACAAAACTTTATGATTTATCTATAGACAAACAATGGGAAAAGAGGTGAGAGAACCAAGGTGATGGAGTAGAGGTGGGAAGGAGTAAAGAATTAATTAAATCAGAGAACAAGAAGTCCATTGGAGAGGATTGAGAAGCACTGCTCCATCAGACTTCTGCTTTGTACAGCACTCACCCTTCTAATATATCCCTTCCCATTCCCACCTCCCTTGGGGTTTGTTTTCCTTGCAGACCAGAGGCTGGGATAAGCAGTTCCTTCTATGAGGATAGCACATTTCCATAAAAAGATTTATGAGTCAGATGAAGGATAAATCCAAGAATCCCATGTCAGGAAATGAATCTGCACAGATGAAAGGGACTTTCCTTATCCCTCGTTTATAACAAGCATGTGTTGGGTGAGGCACAGCTTGGGCTTTACAGCTTCTTTTTCTTGTGGAGCTGCCAAATCCAGGTCTGTCCTGGAAGATGGTTTCCTCCTTGTGGGCTCACAGTCTGTTCCTTGCCATATTCACCCACAGAGCAAGCAGACACAAAGGCATCAGTTTGCAGTTTTGCATTTGACCAAACACGTGTGCTGCTTCGAGGACTAAGTTCTGCTTGGTATCTCCAAACTTACTCTTAGAGAACAATCATGTTACTCATTCCTCTGCCTTTCATTTCATCCCAAACCAATCAGAGCACAAATCTCAGAAAGCCCAGTGCTTAAGTTCTGACCTAGACAACCTCATGTGAGCTTTGTCGAAAACTCACACAACCAGCTGATCCCAAAGCCCACGGAAACCCTTGGAGTCATTCTATTTATTTCAGTGGATCAGGGCCTCATCACAGACTATGGATAGTACTTAAAATGTGAGCAGAACTGCTGAGGTCCCTCAGATCCTACTAAATTCTTTGCAGTGTTGCTCTGATCCAGTTGGAGAGTGGGAACATGCAACTTTCTGTCTTCACCCCCACTTTTTAGAAACGCTCTTCCAGGCAACAGAAGAACGGGAGTACAACCCTGACAGTACATCACCTGGCTCCTTCATGAAGTGAAGGATGATGTTTGGGCATGGTAAGGCAAGAGTCTCTCCAGCATCTGCCTCTGGCCAGCACAGTAATTTGTCCCAAGTCCTCTTGCAACCTCAGGCAGAAAGCGAAATATATTTTTAAGCATAATTATATTTGAGCAAAATAAAACCCCAAACCTTTTTAAACTTTGCCACTCCACCACTTACATATCTTGCAAAAATAGTTTAGCCACAATTTTTATTCTATAATGAGAAATAAACACCCCCAGAGGATTATTTAATCTGCTTTAGTTAGACCCACTGTGTTAGACTGGGGTGGGTTTTTGAAATAATGTAATAAATGAAAAGGTATTATGGAAATGAGAGGGAGAGTAATTCTGGAAGAAAGACAAGATAACAGTAGTTTTTATGGGGTTATCCTATTTTTAAAGATCAAAACACCCTCACAGACGTGCAAGTATGATGCCATGACAGCATCCAGTTGGATAAAGAGTAGGACAAGGACACAAGGATTAACTTAGATAAATTGACTGTTGTCATGGTTTAAAAAAGCTCAAAATCCAATTCTGATTCCTAGCCCCCCACCCACATCTCAACCCCATGTGAGATGGGTTTTCCAGACAAAAACACGAGACTCAATATGGGGGAAGGAATATATTACAAAGACTATACACATAAATAAATACTATAATACACTGCATACAATCTTAACTCTATCTCTACCATGACAATAATATTTACAATGGGCCAAATCTCTTCTCCCTCCAAATAAAAGTCCAGGAGAGAAGAAGAAGAAAAGACCCCTTCCAGTCTCTGAGCAACAGGTGTCTCTCTAGGCAGCAGGCTTTCTTCTTCTCTTTCAGGCAGCAGTTGCAGCTGGATCTTTGCTAATACACACGAGGGGGGTCTCCAAGCCCCTCTCGGCCCCCGTCTTCAAACGGGGGTCTTTCCGTGGACTACGTAACCCCAGACAAGGTCGTTCCACCACGGTCATATCACGAAGCACGGGGCTCTTCGTGACAGTCTGGTATCTTCAGGGGAAATCAAGCCCCTTCACAGAGCTTCTGTGCTCTGCTTCAAAGATGGCTGCCAGCTTCTCTGAAGCTGCAGCAAAAGGGGGGGGAAAGCCCAAGGTCACCCCCTCCACACACATTCCTTTGGCCATCCTGGCTGAGCTCTCAGGAGGCCGGAGCTTCTTAGCTCCTCTCTGTAGTGCATACTGCACTTTAGGACTCCACTCAGTCCACCACCCCCTCCTCTTTCTCAGAGGGGTCTCTAGCGAGTTTGGGGGTTTTGGTTTGTCCAGTTCTTACCCTCCGAAACTCTCTTCCTGCTGCTGGCTCGGGTCTCTTGTCCTGCTGCTGCTTTTCTTTCTCCTCAGACACCTCTGTGTCTGCCTTAGCTGCATACCGGCTTGTGTTGTTCCTTTGGTCTTTATCAGTTGGCTCTTTGCCACTGTTCTTCGGACGCTGCTGTCCCTTCTGCTCCGTCACCCACTCGCAGTGGAGAAAACTCCTTCGGCATCTCAGACACAGGCACTTAGTTCAGTTCTGAGTCCCTGCAGCCCCCCAACCAGGGGCTGGGGGGGGCAGAGGCCCCCAAGGGGCCGGAGCCCCTTCTCCTCGTGGCCTCTACAACATGGCCACCTCTTCTTCCCACCACAAGAACCACTGCTTCTCTTCCGGTGGAGAGATATGTTTATATTTTGCAGGAGCACTGATTGGGTCAGACCCCAAGGGTCACCACCCCCTGGGGGTTACCACTTTCCTAGTTTCAGGGGGAAACCTGGTTCAAACCACTACAACTGTCCGTATTTGAATGGGAAAGACTGTGGAAAAAAGAATTGAAAGGAAAGGGAATAGATGGAAGAAGAGCTGACAAGACAACCTCAAACACACACATTGGCAGCCTGGCTGTGTCCTCACTCTGCTAGTGGGTCACTTCTCCCTCCCTCCCTCATCCCTCACACATGGACACCTGCTGATGTTGCATTTCCATGCTCTTGTGGGTCCTCCAGACATTCAGCCTCATTTTTTTTCAGCTCCGTCATAAAATCACATTCTGGGTGGACATTTCCAGCAACCTACAGGGAGTAGATGATTAGTAAGAAGGGGTTGGATCATCAGTTATTAAGTCCTACTTTGGCAGCTAATGAGGTTGTTTTAAGGACATAAAATGCAACCTTAGGGTTTAGCATCCAGAGGGTACCACAATCTCTGCACAAAGTGCAACACTTTGAGATCACAGAATCACAGAACAATTAAGGTTGGAAAATGCCTCCAAGACCAAGTCCAACCAGCACTGTCAGATCCACCACCAAACCAAGTCCCTAAACACCACATCTACATGTGTATGAACCCAGCTGAGCTCTGCTAAAGGCAGTAGAGCTGTAACACTTTACATCAGAGCAAACCATCAGGTAGTAGAGATCTCAGAAGATGGTAGCCACAGGTCTGGAAAGTTTATAAGATTCCTCTGTCTGTGTTCATAATCAAAGAACTCTTTGCTAGGGACTGGCTTTGAGTGCAGGACTCATTTCTACCCTAAATTTAGCTAGACCCTGTTAAATCTGACCCCAGAAAGACAGACTGCACTTCACCTGGTCAGGCTCCTTTCCATAACAGTGGAGGGCTCAGCACTGCAGGACATGCTGCAGAGCCCAGCTGTGCATAGAAAAGCCCCTGCCAACCTCCAAAGAAACACCACCTTGGAATCACACACAGTTCCTGCAAAATTGTCCTCTGAAAGAGTTTTTCACTCTAAAAGGAATTAATCTGTTCTCTCCCTTCTGCCATCTGCCTTTCTTTACAGAGGGTGGGAGGCAAAACTCCTTTCTTTGGAAAAAAAACAAACTCTGCACCACCAAAGCATTTGTTGGTTTGGCATGAAGGTGTTTTGATAGCAGGAACTGTTTAGTTGATTCAGTCCTTATTTAGACTTGAGCTGATGTGGGCACCAGAAGAGAATTTGGAGGCCTCCAGAGAACCTTGGCCACCAAAGGGCAAATTCTGCAGCAGCCTGTTACACACCACAACTGCTGTGGTTGTACCCACTGGGCAGAAATACACATTTAATTTTATGTATCACAAAGAAAGGAATATTTACCTTATCCAACCATTGCCCCCAGTCCCAGAAGACCAGTTGCCATAAGAGACACTCTGACTTAGCTCTGCTCCCTGGCCACTGGTGCTGTTCACTCTACATGAGTGAACACAGATTTAAAAACACACAGATGCATCAATAAAATAAACTCAGGATGAGATTTGCATGGTGAGCAGGTGGCTGGCATATGGCTCAGTTTTCTTCCACCCAGGGAGGATTAATATTCAGGCAATTTTGAAAATAAATACCTGGCTTTCAGTTCATTAGAAGGGCAGGTCGTGCCCGTTCCAATAAGCTGGTGTTTCCCTTCCATGTCAATGCCCACATCTCCTGTTGGTCTGCAGAGCATTTGAACTGCTTATTGTCTAACAGCTTGAGGCTCTGAGGCTGCTGGAGAATGCTGGATTAATTGCACAACATTTGTTTTTCTGGGGTTTGGACCCTGGTACTTGAAAATTCCATTTATGCCCTTCAAGATCATCTGCTTCCCATTTACTGCTCCTTTAGGAGGATGTGGTTTTCTTGCCAGATTTACATACAGCAGTGCCACGGATCAGTTTAAGGCAACAATTTAAAAGTTCTTGAGGCTAATTGAAGTGTGATGCCCCAGTGATGTCAGAGAGATCAGTCAAACACAAGACACCTGGGGAGCCCCTCAAATCAACTAAGATATGTAATGGTAGGTAGAATGAGAGAAAATTGGCATCTGTCGTGAAAATCTTTGTTCACTTGATATCTCTTTTCATGCCAACACATATTCTATCCCCCCTTGTACTCACCCTGGACAATGAAGGTCATCTATGCTGGAAAGCTCCCTAACCACGGTGTGTGACAGCTCTTGCACAAAGTAGCTTTATTAGTCAGCAGAAAAACCATTTACTGACAATCTATTCTACCACATTCTCTTGGTTCGATGAACTGTGCCCAGAAAAACCTCAGCAGGCAGGAAATGCACCCGTTTGCACTGTCCTAAATTATTTCTCCTGGCAGAAAAAAACATTACTAGATCTCGCCTGTCAAAACCCTCTTTGCTCCCTGAAATGTTCATGGCGAGAGCAAAGCTTGTTTGGCTTATTCACCAGTCCAGGAAACCTTTTTTTTTTTCCATTTTTGATTTCTTAGTCTCCAGACTTGTGAGAACATTTTACCACGTGCGTCTCAAGTAGAAAGATGAGGCTGATCAAGAACCAGGGATTCAAATTATTGCCTCTTTCTTCGAGAAGACCCAACCTTAAGAGATGCTGTGACAGTTTATATGCAAGTCATCACTAAGCACTGCTTGAACAGACACTGAGTGCAAGGTCTTCTATGACACCAACTCAGGTAAAATAAATTGAAAAGATTCATTCGGTTTCAAAAACCTCTCCAAAAGTTGAGTTCAGCTCTACTAGAAAAAGTATATGATCACTTACATCAATAAAATCTGATGGCTCTTTTTCCATCATTATATACTGAAATAAGAGTTGTTTACCCATCCTCTATTATAATAAAATATGCAACACATGCTAGGAGATTTTTATTATACACTAACACATAAACTTGTTTCTGATCAGTGCATATTCATAAAATAACTAATGTAACTTTATAGAAGAAAGTGCTATTTCTTTTGGGTGAATGGGACAGGATCTTACAGAGACCTTCAGTCATATTTTCAACTATTAGTGTGATATTCTACTTACAAGCAATTGTATTTATCTACTCCCACTACAGGGAAGTGGAGTTTGTCACACAGATGATACAAAGGAAGCTGTAGCTTCACATCAGTAAAAAGTCTTTTCAGTCATTTCACGGGGCTTTATTTTTCTCAATTCACAAAAAGACCTCTGTGGCCCCCCCTTCATGAAATGTTCCTTTGGAAAAGAGATTCCCAGGAAAGAAAAAAAAGATATAGAGGAAGGATCGCAAAAGGAAGATGATGAAAATGTAATTACTCTAAAAAACAAAGAAAAAATATCCTTCCCCCACTTTGCACAGACATTTCCTGATACCCGTGTGATCCTGAATGCTAGTTTACTAATCTTTGTCCAAATCAAAATATCAGCAAGACCTCTGAGCTTTTAAATCATTTAAATATTTCTAATTCTTCCATAAACATCCCTGCTGCTTCCATTTGTTACCTGAAGCATCTCAGCTGCTCACATACTAAATCACATTAATGCTGCCACCAAAGCAGCTGAAATTGTAACTAATAAGACTGTATAATCTGAAATTTAAAGAAACCTCTAACAAAACTCAGCTACTGTAACAGCCCTCCTCCAACTTCTTCTTGTCACTGTCTTAAAGCCTACATACACACACAAAACAACGAGGAATTCTGCCAGTTATGTTGTTTCTCTACAGTGAGTGTGGGATAAGAAAGCAGTGAAATGAATTGATATAAAGATCCTACAATGTGTGTCCCTTCTGCTGCTGTTCACACTTTTCGTAGCATCTTGCCTTGTTTAAGTGGAATCCAAAGCAAATAAAGAGAAAAGAGAAAGAAGCTGTATCTGCCCATCTGCTCCAAGGAGGAAATAAACAATTATTGAAACACGATGAAGTCAAAGTTTTGTTTGTTTTTTTTTTTCATGCAATTACTTACAAGCACTGCCAGACTCAGGGTGTGCAGAGCACAGTGGTATAAAGCACAAGAGTTCATGTTCCAAAGCAAGAGTCAGACTTCACTCCTTCAGCCTTTCTCAGCATCTCTCACCTGCTTTTTGACTTCTCTTTCTCCCCTCAGTTGCACATTTGAAGCATTTATATTTTTGCACAGAAGTGACGTAACAGGACAGTGAAGTGGGAAATAAATATTAACAATTCTCCAAGCTGTGTTTAAGCTTTCCAACTTTTTGACTTTGCTGCCTTCGCAGTGACTGGACTGGATGAATTGTGTGTTTGATGCCAAGGTTATGGGAATCCTATACCTTCCTGGCAAGACCCCTGATTCTTTCTTTAAACCCAAAATTGTTTTAGGAGCTCTAAATGTTGCTAATCCTGTACAAGAGAAACCCTATCCTAACAACTAATGTTGATGTCAATTTATTCTAATTCACATTTTTCGGTGCAGCTCCAGTGTATCTGTGTGTGGGTGTAGTGACCATGGTGCTGCACTTTAAAATACAGGATCAAAAGCTACTCACAGGCATGTGAACAAAAATTCTGCTGGGTACCTGCTGGACATTGATTTGAAGGCAAAATTCACAAGGGATTCTTCTTGAGACTTCTGAAAGTTCGGTGTCTAAATCTCAACCCAGCAACTCCTTTAGTCAAAGTATTGAAATATGTGCACTCAGCTCATTCATCTCATCCTAAGCATTAAATGAAAATCTTCTTAAATCTATTTTACAACATTCTCTTGTCTAATCTAATGGCTAGAAGCCATAAATTTGGCTGCACTCCAGCCCTACTGGGTGTGTATCAAAGTCTGTCCATCAATTCATACTCTCTTGAAGGACATTAAATTCCATATCAACATTAAGCAAATGTTAACATTGCAAGATCAGAGACTCAAGATATGAAATATCTTTAAAATATTGTTCTCTGCTCTTCTATTCTCATATCCTGACATTCCTCAAAATCAATTCTTAACCCCAGTTCCAATCTTCCCCTAATGGTCCATCCTACAACCCCATTTTCACTGCTCTTTATCCATCTTCCCCACTCATCTTTCTGCACTTGTTTCAAATTACTTCTTACTGCTTATCTACCTGAATTGGGAGTGGGAATTCTGAGACCATGGAAAGAACCCTCTCATCTCCCAGAGTCACCACAACTACGAGGAACTAAAGTTATACCTATGCAGGGCTCAACTACATTTGGAAATATCTGTGGGGATGAAGCTTTCAGGGCTTGTTTGTAGGTTGGATCTGTGAGGGAACTGAGAACACAAGAAGGTGTTTTTGGAGAGCTGAAGTTGGCAAGCTTTCCATTTAGTGTGTGCAAAAGGCTTTATTTCATTATTCCTCAAATACTTGTACCTTGCCTAGATTAGGCAAGCTTTCACAAAGCTGTCTAAAACAAAATTAGAGCTGTGCTCCCGTCAATTTTGATCATTTTTTTTCCAGAGGATGAAGCTCTAGACCTTGTAAATGAACACTTACAAATGTATTTATCGTAGGCAAATTCTATTTTTCCCAACCCCATTTCAGAAGCTACATAATCTTAAGAACTGAAAGATTTCCCTGCAGAGGTGTAACACGGAAAAATTTCATCCCGTAATGCTAAATCTGCTTTTTCAGTTGGTAAAATTATGAAAAAAAACAGTGAGGGAACTTAAACCTACAGAGTCTTAATTCACCATGACATAGGTCTCCAAATCTGGCAACAGTGTTCAGTACATCCCAGTGTTTTGCTGATTCCCTCCTATTCCCATTTGAGGAGGTGAACAACCCGAATAGAACTGGCTTTGCTGAGCCTGGAGAAGAGAAGCTTCAGGGTGAACTTATTGTAGCCTTCCAGTACCTGAAGGGAGACCACAAGAAAGATGGAGAAGGACTTTTTACAAGATCATTTAGAGACAGGAAAGGGGGGAATGACTTCAAACTGGAAGAGAGTAGGTTTAGATTAGATATTAGGAAAAAATTCTTTACTGAGAGGGTGGTGAGGCCCTGGCACAGGTTGCCCAGAGAAGCTGTGGCTGCCCCATCCCTGGAAGTCTTTAAGGCCAGGTTGGACAGGGCTTGGAGCAACCTGGGCTAGTGGAAGGTGTCCCTGCCCATGGCAGGGAGTTGGAACTGTATGATCTTTAAGGTCCCTTCCAACACAGGTTATTCCATTATATGATTCTATGATATGTTTCTACGTTTTAAGCTACTCAAAGTGCTTTCAATAGTGAGACAACAACAGGGACTTTCAGCTGTCTCACAAATATTTAATAGTGTTATAATCCTAGAAAATCCTATAAAACTACATTGATCCATGCTGTCCTCACAAGATCATGCCAGTTACAGCATTTGGACACATTCCCTCTTCTTTCCTTCCCAAAGAGACTGAAGTTTTAAGAAAAATATGTGGCTGAGCATCCATGATGTTTCCTGTAATGTATCAGTTCTATTAAGGTTAAAAGCCTTTGGGTTGTCCCACAAATGCTCTACTGATCATGCACCCTACAGCCATTTCAGCCACTGTTTGAAAAGGAATCATAAACAGACTTGTTTCAGAGGAGCAACATCTCACATTTCACGGGGATGCACTTTTTTTGGTCCCTGTATTAGAAAAATAAGTTGCCTGTGAGTAAGCTTTTGGTGTCCACATCAGAATTTTCCATTTCAGCCACCACATCTGAACCATTCTGTGTGTTTATTCTGTGCTGTTGAAGTCATGCCTATAAAAACCACACAAGGCATTATTTGCCACTTTTCAACGTGCCAGAGAACAGAGAGAGCCCGATGGCTCATTCACAGGGTTTTCATTTTTAAGGGAGAGTGGGCATTGGTGTAGAGGGGTCTTGTGCTGAAATCCACCACATAGAAACTCTGATGACCATGGATCATTTTGGAAAACCTGGCTTTTCTGTATTTTCAGCATTATTCTGCCAATCTGCAGCACAGACATTCCATTAAAATGAGTTCCTTCCTACTGTCGCTGTTTTGTGCAAATTTCCAGCTGTTTGTGGTTAAGGAGAAAGACATGTCTTAAAAAAAAAAAAGGGCTTATGAGTCTTTTCTTTATTATTATTTCACCAAAACGACTATTTTTTTCATTTAAAGAAAAAAGTTTCCTCCATAACTAGCAGAATTTTGAGCTGCTTAGTTTCACCATAAAAGCACATCTGAAGGACCGGTTTTCCACAGGCACAAAGTTCTCACTTCCTACCAGTTCTATCCAAATTTTTCAGCCTTGAATACCACCACCTCTGCAAGTCTGCTCCCACACTTCTCCTGGGCAGAAGCAGGCACTTAGTAGATCAGTGATTACTACATCTTCTCTTCACTCATCACCTCCATCACCAACACACTCCCTATTCCATGCAGCTCCTCTGCCAAGTTTTCTAGTGGTGGCATCTTGCCTTTTGGATGGCAGAGCTGCAGAGGAGAGATGGAATATTCAGCAAAGGAGCTGTTTTTCTCCCCACAGGCTCTCCCAAAGGTGAGAGCCTGACATTTTCACAACTCTCTCAAGGTTTCCCTCGCAGCTTTTTGCAGAATGGTTTCAGTTTGTTTTGCCAACTCGTGTGGTTTGGCTGATTCCACAACAGCCCTGCCAGCCCTGTTTCTAAACTCTTCTCCCTACGCATAGAACAGCATCCCAAAACTTATATCAAACTCTTGGGGTTTTGCTGCCACTTTTTCTCCCTCTGCAAGATCCCCTCCATTATCATAAAATCCTGGAATAGTTTGGGTTGGAAGGAACCTTAGAGATCATGGCATTCCAACCCCTGCCATGGGCAGGGACACCTTCCACTAAACCAGGTTGCTCAGAGCTCCATCCAACCTGGCCTTGGACACTTCCAGGAATGGGATAGTCAGAACTTCTCCCAGCAAATTATTGTAGCTACAAAGACATTTACACACAGATAAATCTACAGTTGAAATGTTTGAAGCCAGGCTGGATGGAGCTCTGAGCAACCTGGTCTAGTGGAAGGTGTCCCTGCCCATGGCAGGGGGTTGGAACTGAAAGATCTTTAAGGTCCCTTCCAACCTAAACCATTCCATGATTCTATGATTCTATGATTTTAATTTTCTTATGAAGGAAAACTGGAGGAAACCTTAATACCATAAATCAATATTTCATAATTTACCTAAAACCCCCTAATTAATTAAAAAACCTAACTAATTTCATTGATATATAAAACCCATGGATCTTCCAAAGCTAAAAAAACCCAATTTGAGTTAAATAGTTTTAGCTTCTGAGATGACATTGTTCCAGCTTCATATTTCCCAAGGATCATGCCCAGTAAAAGATATTATAATTCAACATTGAGAGGAGACCTACAAGTGACATTTTCCTTAAACTCTTTAATCCAATCAGCAGTGTCCAAAGTGAAAATGGAGCCAGGACTGCTTTTGTGGCCTCCCAAGGTCAGAGCCATGGGCACACAGTGTCGTGGTGAAGTTCGTGATACTGAAGGCAAATTTATGGAGAAATAAAAGGAAATTTCAGTGTCTACCATTGTCTCACAGAGTCTCTTATTGCCATGACAATTCTTTAAAACTATTAAAATTTAGAGGAAAGGTGTGGGAGGGGAGGGGAGGAGGAAGGCTGGGTCTAAGTCATTTAACCACAGCTCCAAGAATAGGCGATTTTGTTGTGCAGACGTGACAAACGAATGTTTAGTTTCTGAGGAAAAAAGGGAATGTTTGAAGCAGGGAAACTTCAGACAACCCAGAACTTTAAGGAGTTTTATAAATGGGGCCTTGAATTATTGTTTTAACACTGAAGACTAAAAATATGCAAAGTTATAGTTATGCAATTGAATTAATTTTTCTTTGCAGTGTCAGAGGACGATCATTTTTCTCACAACGTGAATTAAACGAGCGAGGGGATTTCAACTAATGCTGTTTAAATGTAGTTCAAAATGGAGAACATTAACTCTTGATCACATTAAATGAAGCTAAATCTTGTTAAGCACTTGTGCACTGGGGGTTTGCAGCAGTGTGCTTGGTTGACTTTGTTTCCACTGGGATAAATTTTGGAGCTTGGCAGCCAAGCTGTGGC